CCAAGGTATACCAGCTACTTCCATGTCATAAAGGCTTAGTCATGTCTCTTGACCAAGCAATGAGCTGGTGCCCTGACACACAATCAGCTTCTCACAGAGGATTGCTTCCTCTGCTTTGGTCGCCTTGCAAATGAGTATATATGTGATATGTTCTCTTGCATGGAAGAGCAGCACCTGTACTGTATTGGCAAGGCACAGGAGCATCAGGCTGCAAGACACAGAGAACAGAGGGAGGAAGGAGAGGCTGAGGAGGAGGCTGAGCTGGACATTGAGTTGCCTGCCAGCTTTACTGGCTCATGCAGATGGGCAAGTGAACAGACTGCAGACTCACTCTCTTTGGCCTGGACCAATGGGAAGGCCAGTCTGCTCATAACTATGACATGCAATCCAACTTGGCCAGAGATCCTTGATGTACTTTGACCAGAACAGAGTGCATCAGATGTCCCAATGGTAGTGGCCTGCATCTTCAAGCTTCGTCTGCAGCACTTTCATCATCTTCTCCATCAACACTTTGGCAAATTGGTGTAAATTGTGCAGGTTATTGAGTTTCAGAAGCATGGTCTGCCACATGCACACATCATGATGAAGGTGTGTTTAGGTTTGGCAATATTGCTCTGTTCCTCACATGGACTGCCTAGGTTCATCCTGAGCTGCCACCAGATCAGATTGATCAGGTGATTTGTGCATGCCTTCCAGAAGATCCCCGGCTAGCTGCCAAGATCCAATGATGGATGCTTCACCCTCGAGATCATCTCAGCCCAGACTGATATAGCCATTGTAATAGGGATGATCAGTGCATATATGGGTTCCCACATACCCTCCAAGATGAAACATTAGTGGATGCTGATGGCTTTGCTCACTACAAGAGGGTCGCATAGATTGACCAGTGGATAGCACCTCATATGCCACTCTTTGTGGATGAGCTTGACTGTCATGTTCATGCTGACATTGTGGCAACTTCACACATCATCATCTACCTCTACAAGTACCTATTCAAGGGCATTGATCATACTCTCTTTGCAGTCTTGGATGAAAACTGGCCTGCCATCAATGAGATCACTGACTACATCAAGGGCTGTTATCTTTCTGCCACAGAAGGTGCCTGGAGGATTACAGGCTTTGATATTATTATGCAATCTCCTTCTGTCACATGGCTAGCAGTGCACTTGGAGGGGGAAAACTATGGGCAGTTTTTCTGAGCACACAATAATGAATCTTCAGCCTCAACTCTGTTGTGCTACTTTGCCCAACCCAACTGCCTCAATTTCTGCCTTTGCTCTATGAAGAGTATTTTTCACAATATATTCTTGAGACCTGGAATGGCCAACTGCCTAATAATGTGACAACTTTCCTAGAGGAGACATGACAGTACATGCCTCAGAAGCTTGTGAAATGACAGACCACCTCCCACTGTGCTTGCCTTCAGAGTATCTTGCCCTCTGCTGGAGATGTCTTCTACCTTCAGTGCTTGCTACAGCATCGCTCAGCTCTCAGTCATGCAGAGCTGTATCAGGTTCAGCAGGTTCAATACAACTCTGACACAGCAGTTGCACATGCCTTGGGCCTGTTTGATGATGAACATGAGGGTGCATATGCACTTGCTGAGGCAGTTTTGGATCTACACACTCCTGGCCAGTTGTGGTTCCTCTTTGCATGCATAAGGCTATCCTGCTCCTCCACTATGGACATGGTACAGAGATGAACTCTCTGTAGACTTCAGGCAATGCCTACAAGATGTCAAGATGGCCTATGACCAGACACTTCTTGCTATTGGTGAGTTTCTTGCAGACATTGGCAAGGAGCTAAGGCAGTATGGTTTATGACAGCCAAACCATCAGTCTGCAGAGGTGGAAGAAGAGCTTGCTGCTTTTGCTCCTCATGTGCTCAGATTAGCAGAGGAATGGCAGGTGGCTTTTGCCAGGTTTACTGCGGAGCAACAGCTGCTCTTTGATGAGTTCTGTCAAAAACTGGGTGCTGTTCCACATGACTCCACACCAATGTTTCTTGAGGGAAAGCCTGGTTGAGGAAAAACATACCTGGTGAATGCACTCTGTGCTTGGCTTTGCAGCCATGGCAATGTGGTGCTTGTGGTTGCCTCAACAGGAATTGCTGCATCCAATTACAGGAGGGGACATACAGCACATTCCCTGTTTCAGATTCCTGTTCATGAGGTATGTAGACTGCATAGCAGCTGCATTATCAGATTGATTTTTTTTTCAGGACCATGTTGGCATTACATCAGAGATTCAAGTACCATCACTCCATGCTGATCTCATCTATGCTTCCAGCTTGATTGTTTTTGATGAGCTTCCAGGAGCAAATCAAACAACAGTGGAAGCTATTGATGCTATCTGTTGCCTCATTGAAAAAAGGGATATTCCATTTGGAGGCATACCTTTTCTTGGTGTGGGGGATTTCTGTCAGGTTGCACCTGTTGTAAAGGATGGGGGAAGCATGGCATCCTATGCTGCTTCAATCCTCTCCAGCCCTTTATGGCATTTCTTCCAGCTTTGCACCCTCCATGCACCAATATGAAATCAGCAAGACCTGGAATTTTCAGAGTTTGTGGATGAGGTTGGAGCAGATATATTGCAACACAGGATTCAGCTTCTGATGTTTGGGATCATCAAGTCAGAGATGGAGGTGCTTGACTTTCTCTATCCACCTCCAATTCTGAATGACCTGGCAGCCTGTATGTGCTGCAGCTTTTTATCTCCTCTAAACAAGGTTGTTGATGAGTTCAACACATTAGTGTTGAGTTTGCTTGCCACAGATGAAGGTATGCTTCTTACCTTCTTTAGAATGCATGGCTAATATATTCTATCAAGTGGTCTATTACAGTGCTGATTCCATCAAGGAGGCTGATGACTTGGATGCCGATGATCTGCACCTTTTGCCAGACTATTTAAACAACCTACAGAAGACAGGTGTGCCTCCACATGAATTGGTGCTTAAGGTGGGCTCTATCTGTGCACTGATGCAAAACCTCTCTGTGAAGGCTAGGCTGGTGAAACATGCACAGGTAGTAATTGAGAAGTTGCATCAAAGGTTTGTGCAGGTCTGTGTCTTGGAAGCCAATGGTGAGGTGGGGGATGCAGTACACTGCATCCCACAGATCCATTTCTCCTTTCGACCATTCCATGTCAGCTGGGCTGTGATATGTATGCAAATACCACTTCAACTGGCATATGCAACTACCTTTAATGCCTGTCAGGGTCTTACCCTAGACCAGACAGTGCTGGATGGATGGAGTGATGTTTTTTGCACATGGGCAGCTCTATACAGCACTTACTCAAGTGCAAACTAGACAAGATAGCATGCTTCTATTAGATGAGCACCAAGACCACACAGTGGCTAACTTACAGAGTGCAAGGCTTATGCTCCTGCTTATATAGACTGTACCTCAATTGATACATAGATCCGTGCAGTCTTGCACCCGAAGGGTGCTATGCCCTTGTATTATGAATAGAGTAGGTTAGTTAAGGATTCGAGTACTTCGGATAGGGACGCTCCTTCGACTGTTGATATCTCCTTCACTTACCTGATACTTGATACTACACCTCTACTCTACAGTCAATCATTAACTTCACCCTCTGATTCTCTCATTTGGATTACCCATTCGGATTCTCGAACGACGCTCCGGATCACTCGTTACCCAGCCCTCCGAGCCTTCTAGGCAACTCCTTCAGTAGGCATTGGCGGAGTCCTGCCTGGGCGTTTGGAACGAATCTCAACTCCTCGAACCTGTCCTCGGACTACTCATTCTTTCGAAACTATCGTCGATTCGGCAGGTACTACAGCTAGGAACTACTGTCAACTCCCCCTCCAGCGGCCTTACTCCTGACGCCTCATTGGGAGGTGTAGAGTACACATCATGCAGACGACCACAGGCTGTGCATGCTATGTTCTCGAACTCTTCACACATGCATATTGTCGAGGGGACTTTGGGTAGTTATGAATTGCGTCTCAGGTCCTTGCATTCCTTGCCAACAGGTCCCGTGTCGCAAATACCCAAGATTCGTACATGCCACCCGACTTGGATTTCTCAACGAATAGAAAGAAAGTGTGCTGCACATTCTAATTTCGAAGCTGGATTTGACGTTCGAATGACACTCCGAATGAGGTTTGAAAGGACTATGGCAAGATAGTAGAGGGAAACGAGTTAGTCCGAAGTCCGAATCACCTCTGAACATATATAGGGAGGATTCGAGTACTTCGGAACAGGGACTCTTCCCTTCCTTCCCTTCCCTCTTCCACTACACCTTTAACTTAGAGTCACTCCTTGTCCTCCTTCTCTCTCATATTGAGCACTCCCAATATTCGTTCAAGCCTTCAAATTGCACTCCGAGCCCTCTCACTCTCAGTTCTATCGATTCAGGCCTGTCCTTTTGACTCGAACGGCAAAGATTCCCAACCCCTTCACCCCTGTCAGTCATGTGCACATGTGTCCTTCGGTTTGGAATCAGTAACGGACACTTCATCCTCGAACTAGCTATCTCTTCGGAACCGACTTCGATTACTATCGACGCTTCACTTGCGAACTAACCTCTTCTCGATTCGAGCCGCTACTATCTACTCCCCCTCCAGCGGACTTATTTCCTGATGCATCATAGGAAGGTATAGAGTACAAAAGGCGAGTGTGACAAACACATTGAAAGATTTCTTATTTTCAAGCTTCTTTATTTACAAGACGCGAAAATAGCGGGTCCGCTGTTCAGATCTCGCTCTCCCCAGCAAATGGACCCTGCACCATTTCAAGAATGACCTTCCACGTCGCGCTCTCCAATCCTTTCGCTTGCTCCGCCTCTCTTGCCATGAGGTCCTCTTTGGTCTTCGCAATCCTTCCTGCACCTTCCTTCTTAGTCTGCTCGATGGTTCTCACGACGCGAGTACGACGGATGGTGGTATATTCGCGCAACGCTTCTTCAAGGCTCTCATTTGTCAAAGGCTCATGCCGGACAAGCATGCGAACGAGATGATATATGTCCTCAGCCGACTACACAGACGTCATTGACGTGATATGTTCCCTTTATAGTAAGCGCACCTGGTTGGCTCCCTGCCCTAGGAACGGAGCGGTCGGATGGGCGGCGTCACCCACCAGGACCGCCCGGCCCTTGTACCAGACCTCTGGAATAGGTCGTAGGTAAAACCCAAACTAACAGACTTGGGATCAGGAAGGTTGCTCGATCGCCATCAAAAGATACCTACTCGAACAACTTGCGCTGTGCTCCTAATGATCTTGCCAGCATCTCCTCCCCAGTTGGCCGATGGTAGCGACGCGAGCATATCACTGACTTTCTCTGGACTGGCGGTTCTCCAATCTTCTTTCATTTCTCCTTCACCTCGGATGATAAGGGCCCACATGTACGTGCCTTCAGATGTTGGGAAGCAAACGAAATGACATCCTTCCCCCGAAACCTGCATTCCCGTATATGGAGGCGAAGGGCACATGGTGTCTGAAAATGGGGTGAAACCACCGACCTGGACTGAATTAGCTCTCTTCCCGTCCCTGCTTCAAACATCAAGCATACTAGTGCAGCGCCAGTGTATTCCGCGCCAGACTTCCCAAACAATGCATCTCGGACTTTGCTATGAAGCCCGTCGCACCCCACAAGGAGGTCGCCCTCATCAGTAGTGTTGTCCTCGAAAACAGCGGTCACTTTGTCTCCCTCTTGCTTGACATCGACCAGCATCTTTCCCCAGTGGACAGGAATCCCACGCTTGGTGGCGTTCTCAATGAGGAACTTGGCAAACGTTGTTCGGACTATGGTGCATATGGGCCAGCCAGTCGTTTCTCGGATCTGGTCGTATACAGGTGCATCCAACAACACCCGACCTGTGAGTTCAGACAGATGATGGACACGTTGCAGCGGCTGAGTCAGAGTGATGACTTCGTCAGCAAGACCTAAAATATTCAACACTTTGAGGCTTGACGGCCAGTGAGTACATATTTTGCTGATGACCTTGAATGTCGTCTCACACTTGACCGCTCAGCTGCATGGCCAGCCCACCTGTTGGTAAAGCGGCATGACGTTCATAGATGATAGGATCGAACCCCTTATGCTTGAGGAGCATTGCGACCACCGGACCTGACTAATGCTGAGAGCAAGGCCTCATGAGCCCGTCAGGCTTCGTACCTGTGAAACCTGCACCGATAACAATGACCTTCATCTTGGGCTTGGACATCTCAGTCAGTCGAAGGACGCTGAAGGAATAGCTCTGATCCTCCTCATCCAGAGCCATTATCATACATTGTCGCCTGAATCCTTACATTGCGATCCTCGCCCGTGTTTGGCGGGAGCGGCGATTCTGCCCGAATCCCCCTATTATCTTCATAGAAAATGGTTTTGTCTTCGCAAGCTTTGGACCGACTAGGACTGAATCCCGAGTGCAAGACAAATAGAGCCCAAATGGGAGGGGACTAGACCGCTCGCTCCAGAGCGTGATCCGAATACTTATCGGTCTCCTTGTCTACGAAAGTAAGACATTATTTAATGGAAAGAACTTAAGCGAAACGCAGCGCCTGATTGGTAACCAGTTCACTTCAAATTTCGTGCTCGAAGTGTCGCGTGTCGCATTTGGAGAGACCAGGACATTAATGTTGAATTTGCGACCTTCCGCTGGATTCAAGTGCTTCCATTAAACAATGTATACAGCATCCGCTCCGCCAGCTCCCGCCCGGGCTGGTGAATAATATAAGGAACGGCATCGGTGAACATCCGGCCTCGTCTAGATCTACAGCACTGATATTGTGTAGCCCTTTACCAAGCTCGCGGTTGATTGCGGAGAAATGATCATATTTCGCTTTCACCTGAGAAAGGCCCTTTCATCGCTTCAAGAATGACCTTCCACGTCTCACTGTCCAGCCCCTTCGCCCGCATATCGTCTCTCTCCTTGATTTCCTCGTCAGTTTTCGCTTTCCGATATTCGCCCTCACGTTTCGCCTGTTCGACTGCCTTTGTAGCCTTAGGAAGTCTGATAGTCGTATACTCTGTGAATGCTTTGTTGATGCTCTCGTTCGTCAAGGGTTGGTTGTGAACAAGAGCTCGAACGAGATGATAGACGTCTTCCGTTGACTGCACGCAGTGTTCAGGTTTGATAGCACCACAATATAGACCACTTCGCATACCTGATTTGCACCTTGGCCTAGGAAAGGAGTGGTCGGATGGGCTGCATCACCAAGCAAGACGGCCCGCCCCTTGTGCCAAACGGGGGGAATAGGACGCAGATACAGGCCGAACTGAATTCATGGTCATTTTATGGTGGCCCCACATACCAGGATTACGCTCACTCGGATAACACCTTCCGAAGATTTGATAATCTTCCCCGAATCTCCGCTCCAGTGGACGGGCGGAAGCATATCCAGCATGTCACCGAGGGATTCTACGTCTGCTGTCCGCCAATCCTCCTTCATTTCCCCATCTCGAGGCATGTTAATAGCCCAGAAGAACTTGTCGTCGGCGGTGGGAATGAGCAGAAAGAAGCAGTCTCTGCCCCAAACGGCGTCCAAGCTGTATGGGCGACGTGGTTGAAGGTCTTTGGTGTAAGGTGCAAACCCACCAATCTAGGTTCTATTAGCCGAAACGGATAGAGCCATGAATTTTCACTCACAGCTACGAGGCCGGTGTATTCGGCGGACGTTTCACCGAACAGCGCATCGCGGACCTTGCTGTGGAGGCCATCACAGCCGACGAGGAGATCGCCTTCATCGGTAGTGACATCAGCAAATACCGCGGTAACGTTGTCCGCGGTCTGGTTGACATCGACCAGCTTCTTGGACCAGTGGAACGGGACCCCACGTTCTTCGGCTTTCTGCACGAGGAAGCGACAGAATTTAGCGCGCACGATAATACACGTTGGCCACCCTGTCATGTTACGGATCCGTTCGCCAACCTCGATATCTTGGAGGATTTTGCCTGTGATTTCAGACCGATGAACCATGCGCTGTGTCTGAATTCCGAGAGCAATGGCTTCCTCAGCCAGGCCGAGAATGTGGAGGACCTTGAAACTAATACTCTCGTGAGGGAATAGTCAAGCCAGGGAAGCCTAATGGCATACACTTGTGGACTGAGATTCATGCTCAGCCCCCCGGATGGGACAGAAGGATGTCTCTCGTACACCACCGGTTCGAACCCTTTGTACTTCAGCAACATTGCCAGCAGAGGCCCTGGAGTGAATGTCAGCGAACACAAGGTGAGGTTATGAAGGTTGGCATACCTGTTACACCAGCTCCGATAATGATAACTTTCATCCTGACGAGTGATTTAGAACAAGACAGAACAAGAAGAGGCAGTTGGATCTGTTGTTTTGCGTAGAGGAATGACAGGTTGTTAGACCATTTTATAGTGCAGATTCCCCTATGCCTGAAGTTCACGGTATGTGCAATGCCGCAGTGCGCCAGGCTTCAGCCGCTCCTATGCCCTTATCCAGGGTAGCCCGATCATGGAAACGGCGGCGGATGTCACGCCGCGCGAAGGTGCCAGAGTACCATGAGTAGGGGGTAGCCTAGGAAAAACATTCCGATGTTGAGTTCGTCGAGGGAGCTCTTCCGAATGGAATCTCCATAGCACAGACCCATGCTAAGCAGAATAGTGAGGTATGCTAGAAGCTGAACCAGAGTAGGCCGCAGGTACCAAGATAACTGTTCAGGCACAACGCAATATGGGACGTAAGGCCGCAGGACAACCATGGTGAAAACCATGTGGTCTCTTTGGTGGCATTCAGTCTTCGCGAAGTCGTATTCAGTCCATCATTGCAGGAGTGTAAGAACTTGTATCAAAGACGACCACAATGCTGGCAGGGGGAATTGTTTGTGAGGAGCTGGCAAGAGCAAGGAGGATCAGGCAAGATCAAGTAAAGAGACGATTGTTACTTCCGGTTTGTTACGATCGCGATCGCTATCTAGATCTCGCTCTTTCCTGATAAGGACCCTGCACCATTTCAAGAATAACCTTCCACGTGTTGCTCTCCAGTCCTTTGGCCTGCTCTTCCTCTCGCGCCAATAACGCCTCTCTGCCTTCGACAATCCTCTCGTCCCCTTCGATTTTCGTCTGCTCTGATGTCCTTCTGACTCGAGGCAGACGGAGAGCGGTGTAGCTGGTAAAAGCCTGGTCGATGCTCTCGTTTGTCAGCGGCTGGTGTTGCAGCAAACAGCGGACAAGGTGATAAATGTCTTCGAAGGACTAGATATCTGTTAGTCGAAACACTCGGTGTTGCTACAATGCATACCTGATTGGCTCCCTGACCGAGGAATGGTGCTGAAGGATGAGCTGCGTCACCCAGTAAGACGACGCGACCTTTATGCCACACCGGCGCAATAGGACGGAGATGCAGGCGGAACTGTCCGATGTCAGCAATCTGGCCGACTAAACCATTAGAGAGCGTACGCGGATAGCGTCAGTACAACCCTTGACTATCGCAGAAGCCTCCCGACCCAGCCTCTCGAATGGCACCGAGGCTAGCACCTCTTCTACAGTCTCGGTACTCGCGGTCTTCCAGTCGTCCTTGACGTCTCCTCCCCCTGTATCGCTGATAGCCCATGCGAACTTCCCGTCTGCAGTAGGGAGAGTGATGAAGTGTACTCCTTCGCCTGCGACGTGGAACGCCCTCCTCGGTGAAGGGGGAGGCAAGGCCTCCGAGTATGGGGTGGAACCGCCCACCTGTCCTCCATGAGTGTGCAAGTTTGGGGACGTCAGAGTCATAACTCACGATTCTAACCCCGGTGTAGAAGACCTCCGCCTTGCCGAACAGCGAATCCCGAACCTTACTATGAACGCCGTCGCAGCCAATCAGCAGATTACCCGTATCCGTCGTCCCGTCCTCGAAGAAAGCAGTCACCGTCTCGCCATCCTGTTTCAAATCCACAAACTTCCTGCCCCAGTGGATAGGGATCCCGCATTTCTCCGTATTCTTCAAGATGAACTTGGGCAGCGTGTTCCGGAACGTGGCGCGCACGGGCCAACCGGAGGATTTCTGGATGTCGGCATATACAGGAGCGTCGATGAATACTCGCCCAGTGGCGGAGGAGACGCAATACAGCCATTCCATCTCTCTGGTTAGAGCGATCGCCTCTTCTGCGAGACCGAGGATGTTGAGCACTTTCCATCTGCAGAGAAGGTAAGTATGTTTCTCCTTCTGATGCCAGATACTGACACTTGTCCGGTTAGCTGCATCGATAGTCCTTCCGGTGATATATCCGCGTGCCGTTCGTAGATGACAGGCTCAAATCCTTTCTGCTTGAGCAGCATTGCGACAACAGGGCCTGCCCAATCCGCGTTATTGATCAATTGGGGGCCTTCAGGTTGTTCTTTGGTCGGACTTGCCTGTCATGCCAGCGCCAATGATAATGACCTTCATACAACTGCAGATGAGTAAAGTTTCGAACCTTTGTGAACGTTGCGCTGTCTTGGTTTTCATTGCACCGACTAGCCAACAACGGTTATATATCATGTTGCCTCTCAAAATTCCGCGAACAGTCGCGCGCTGTGAACAACGCCGCACCTCGTCGCACCTTGTTCTTCTTCCTCAGCAGAATCAACTCGCTTGACTGAGACTGTCGTCACACGCAGGCATTGCCGCGGATCTTCCTTTGACCGCGGAGACACTGTACCAACCCATCCAGTAGGTGTTAACATCGCGGTTGTCTGCTGAGGAGCTGAGCAGGCATGGATAAGATCGTGGAAGTCGGGAAAGAAGCGTGTCAATATTCACGTGCCGGATAACCAGAGATCCAAGGCTTCTGGTTCCCGTGTGTCTTCATGGACCACGGGATTACACAAAAATAGGGTACCGCATGCGCTCCTGCGAGAACATTTGGATAGGAAGTCAACCATCTCATATAAGCATGGCGCGGCCTTGTACTGCCGTGCACACCTGATATCAATGACTCATAGCCCTGTTGGCCTGTTATAGTGGAACGGCCAGGGCTTGACGTGGCCTTCTATTTTCGTCTCCCGCCTGTAAGCAGCGAATGTTGTATTCTATACCTCCCTATGAGGCGTCAGGAGTAAGTCTGCTGGAGGGGGAGTAGATCGAGGCATGTCGAATCCGGCTTCGAGATCAGAATGTGCAGCACAATGTTGAACAAAACCCGGACAAAACGGAATCTTCCCCGAGACTTGTCCGGATCTCTCAGCAATCAACACCTGGTGGCTGGCAGACAACATCTCATATTCCGCGAGGGGTGGGAGTTGGGGAGGTCGAAGAGTCTTCGGTCGCAGTATTCGACCGAGAAGCGACTCTTCGGGTTCGATTCGACATCTTGCTTGAGAAGGCTAGGCTCCGCAGTGTATGGTCGTCTCGTTCAAGGAAGGGAATAACTTCGCCTCCGAAGTTGATTGCGATTGGGCGGGATCAGATGACCTCATCGTTGTCTCCAACCTTGGACTGTGGGGTGTGACCTCACCGTTTCACGTCCATAGATGTCTGTCAGGCCAATGATCCCCTTCAATGGGAGGCGTCAGGCCTTGGGGGGAATCGTCTCTCTCCTCTTGACGACGACCTTCTACTCTGTCTAGCTAACAATGTCCTTCGCTCGTCAATTTGTTAACACGGCACAGATTGCTCGTCCGGTACCTCTTGCCGGTCGCGTGCAACGCTCGGTCGGGCTTGCTCACCTGCAGGCTAGGGGCTATGCTGCCGATGCAGCGCAAGCCGACAATCGGGCTAAACTCGTGCGTTCCACCGTATCTTGCTAAGCAGGAACCTGACGTATCACAGGTCTTCCGTATCAAGCTGCGCGGTATGCCCTTCCATCTCCTCATAGGAGGTCGCTGAACCAAAAATAGAGATCCCGATGGAGCTCTGGCCCCTCGGGGTCGTCGTTGGCGCGTGTGTGGTCGGAGGGACCGTAGCGCTCATCCGTATTCGTATGTTTTTCCTCTTCTTCCGTTCCACAGCCTGACATGTCTCGCGGGCTAGTGGTCAACGACCCTGATGTGAGTATGTCCTTTCCGGGAAGGGGCTGCAGCTCATGTATGCAGTTGATGCGCCACCGGTCGGTCGGATCTGGTGCACTGGACAACAACAGCAAGATCCCGGAGAAGAAATAAACAGCAGCCGTCTTCCCCAGTTGTACGACTACTCAACCCAAACAACTTCACCTCTACTTCACTGCACGCCCAGACGAATTCCCCACTCACGAGGACCGTATCACCTTCACCTTATCCTATATGAAGGGAGGAAACCCAAACTGCACAACGATTGGCGGGAAGTTCCGTTTCCAATTGTAGTCCCAGTTCCGCTTCCGCGCTCTTGTACCACCACAACTGTGCAAATGAACCAGTTCACATGCTCTTCCTCTCGTCCCGTATGGTGCTAATATTAGCACTGGTCTGGAACCCATACCTCTTTGAACGGGAATGACATCCGACAATCCTCGGCCCGAGATGTCAGACCGGGGCCGAGGATCCAGGAGGTCCGATAATCCTCTACCAGCATTTGGCAGCTCAGAACCGTGTGGCAGGGATGTGCTGCTTGAACTGGAATTTTCTGAGAGTGACTGGAAATGACTGAGACCGACACGATTGGAGAACTTCCTGGACCGGGCATCCGGGGCTTGGGACAGAGGGCATTGCTTAATCCCCCCCATGCCGCTCTTCTCTCCTCGCACCAAGAACATTCCCAACCTCATCGTACCATCCCACAATAACCTCTACTGTCATCCTCGCAAGCCCAGAGTGCAACATGATAGCCCCACTCGTCCCACTCGTGAGGACCACAACGGTACGCCGTGCTCTTGCTGGAGTAAGATATGCTGCCCCGGTACTGAAGAGGGGTTATGCGGCGAAGTTTGATCCTGATGTTAGAGAGGCAAATGTACGTTTTCCATCGACCCTCTTGGCAATATATTTGCTGCGCTGCGTTTTCTTGACAAGCTAGCCGCTGATGCCCAAACAGGAGATACCGAACAAAGCACGTGGTATGTCATCCCACCCAGCCCGCATCATCTCGTCCGACAGCGCCTGACCTATGAGGCCTGAAGCGATTCCAGCGGTACCAATCGAAGTGATCCCCCTGATCGGAGCTGTGAGCTTCGCCGTCTGCGTCGGACTGGGGGTGATGGCATGGCACGGTCTGTTTCTTTCCTCCCTCTCCATCTATCCACTAACATCCTCCGTCTTATGTTCTGCATTTCGTGGGGTGTAGTGTACGAAGAGCCCAAGGTGCGTTGTTTGAGCTATATTGATGGAGAAAGTGTGCGAGCTGAGTGGGGAGGATAGATGCTTAAACACGAGTCTGTGGGATCGGGTCTGCCTGACCCAGAGCTGGCCAAGGTGGAGAACATGAAAGTGTGAACACGCCTTTCTCTCTCACAGCTCTGACCTCCGAACGTCGCGAGAGACAGGCTCGGGTTTTATGTATCGCATGCTGCACTGTGTGTCTGTTGTGTATGAGACCAAGCGGTGTTGGTTGTATTTTCTCAATGGAGATATCGTTATATGCACATGGAATGACTACTTCTTCGTTGAGATGCCTTGTTTGGAAAGGCTAGCGTAGAATGCACTAGTATCACAATGGTATGCAGGAAGCTTGGAGCGGTGGCATGAAGAGAGCTAACACAATTGTGCTCTAATGAGGCATCAGGAGTAAGTCCGCTGGAGGGGGAGTAGAGGCCGGTGGTTCGAATAGTGTCGAGTGCAGTTCGCAAGTGAAGCCGTCGATAGCAATCGAATTATGGTTCGAAGTGAGAAAGAGGTCGAATTCGCAGTCGAAGTTGGTTCCTAATGTCGACTAGAGGGGCAAGAGCTCATAGGCCTTGAAGGGGGCTTGCGGTTACAAGCTGTAACCGTTCGAGTCGAACGTCCGGTCCGAGTGGTCAAGTCCGAGACCGCGCTGACTAGGAATGCCGATCAAAAGTGTGTCGTTTGAGTATCGAATTCGACTTCGAAATTAGAATGTGCAGTACACAATCCAGATTGGTGGTTCCACCCCGTTTTCGGATACTCTGCGTCCGAAGGCTCCATATACAGTACTGCAAGTTTCGGGAGAAGGATGCTACCTCGTCTCCTGGCCGACAAATGAAGACAAGTACATGTGGCTACTGAGCGTTCCAGGCGAAGGGGAGATGAAAGAAGATTGGAGAACGGCCAGCAGGGAGACGGTTGCTGATATGCTCGCTTCGCTCCCACCGATCAGCTGGAAAAGAGGCCGGCTAGATAATCATGAACGCAGCGGAGCTCGTTCGAAGCCTGTTTCAATTTCGGAGTAGCTCCGAGAGTAACATCGAATCCATCAGGTTGGTCTTTACCTACAATCCATTCCGGACGTTTGGCACAATGGCCGAGCGGTGCTCGTGGGAGTGTACTCTACACCTCCCAATGAGGCATCAGGAGTAAGTCCGCTGGAGGGGAGTTGACTGCTGTAGTCCGGTTCGAGTAGGTAAATGTCGATAGAGCCGTTCCAGTAGCGAAGATCGTTCCGAAAGAGAACCTAATCCGAAGACCGGTTCGAAGTTCGATCCACGTTCTGAATCCCCAAGGCAAGCAAGCAATGGCCACTGGGGCGCGAGTTGCAGAAACGACCGTCCGAGGCGGCTGAGCTGGCTAGGATATTCGAAAGAGGGAATTGCGAGGACTCGGAGTGCCGTTCGAGGATCCGAACGGTCGTTCGGACTGAAGGGAATCAAAAAGTAAGAGTCATGATTGACTGGAGGTTAAAGGTGTAGTGTGAAGTGTGTAAGAGATGACCAAAATCGAAGAAGAGTCCCTATCCGAAGTACTGTTCGGAGCGGTTGGGATCTTTCGGACTAACTAACCTAATCTATTCCTAATCTATTCCTTTCATTGTCTTCATATAGTCCTTCCGGACAACATCGAATCCGACCTCGAAATTCGAATGTGCAGCACAGGAGACGCTGCTCATCCGACCTCTCCTTTCCTAGGACAGGGAGCCAACCAGGTACACTTATCATATAAGTAGCATGCACGTCGATGACAGAAATCATCTTGTTCGTATTCTCCTCAAGCATGAGCCGTTGACAAATGAGAGCCGCGCTGCGCGGGTATAGTAACATCCGTCGTGCTCGTGTTGTGAGGGCCATTGAGCAGGCAAAGTGAGAAGGGGCCGGAAGAATCGTCAAGACCCAAGAGGAATGAATGTACTCTATACCTTCGAATGAGGCGTCAGGAGTAAGTCCGCTGGAGGGGGGTTGGATAGTAGCGACTCGAGTAAAGATGAGTTTGTAAGTGAAGCGTTGGTGATAATCGAAGTCAGTTCCGAAGGTTTGGCTAGTTCGAGGATGAAGTCGAAGTCCGAACCACTGGGCGAGAGTGCATAAGACGGACTGGGGTGAAGGCGTTCGGAACGGCTGTCCGAGTCGACAGGACTGGCTTGAAGCGATAGGGTTGCGAGAGAGAGACTCGGAGTGCGATTCGAAGGTTGGAACGAGTGTTCGGATTGCTCCATATGAGAGAAAGGGATGTAGGAAGTGAGAGAAGGGGCAAAAGAGTCCCTGTTCCGAAGTACTCGAACCCTCCCTATACCATTTCCCTCTACTCTCTTGTCGTAGTCCTTTCGAACCTCGTTCAGAGTGTCGTTCGAACGTTGACTAAATTAGAATGTGCAGCACAGGAACTCATAGCAAGAGAGGCAGAGCAATCGAAGGGATTAGAGAGCGCAACGTGGAAAGTTATTCTTGAGATGGAGGGTCCGTTTCCTGTATTTGTCATTAACAGGTTGAGGTTGGTAACAGGTGAGGTTGGTTGTATTTTCTCACCACTGAGACACCGTTATACACGGATTGGCTGTTTCTTCGCTTTCCGCGACTGTGTCTCGGGCTCTACACTGCTCGTTCACGCCAAGGATCTATCCGGATCTAGGCTGTTCGTGGGGGCGAAAGTCGTGTATTGATATTGATGGAACCGGTGCCGTTCGTCAGCCTGGATTTCGTATTTGAGATCCACGCCCTTTATACTGGCGCTGAATCCAACGATTGTTGACACACCCATCGCGGCGATCGTGTTGCCGTTACATCTCTTGTGACTAATGTGTGTCGAGCCTAGCCGAAAGATGTACCAAACCTGGAAGAAGCTTGGGTGCACAAGAGCGACGAATGCGGACGCGTGTACGAGTCGGCCGTGTCGGCCGACTCGGCGCCTTCACATCCGATGGCCAGTGGGGTACGACGCTCTCCGCGAGGATATTCTTACCTGGTGTTGTCATTCCCCCCTAAAGAAGTGGGCCATCGAAATGTTGAGTCGGTCCAGTAACGTAATGCCAGCGCTATGACGCACGTGATTGCCATGTTCTTTCTGATGCGCCTTGACCGGAACCGTCCGAAATGGAAAATTCGTGACTGGACTTCCCGGCTTTATTCCAGCCGCGGTCCTCCGCATCTTGCTACCTTCGAGCTCTTCGAGCCAGCGCAGGGGGAAGGGGGAGAGCCAAGAGGGATGATCTCCCTCTTTGGTGCTCCACAGGATGACAGCTTCGCATGGAGGTGAGGTGCGGGGGATGATTCGCAGCGCCTGACGTTGGGCAAGCCTGGAAGTACAGGGGATATGATACCCGGGAAACTATTTTGTGCAGATATATAAGAATGAGCTGTGAACGAGCAGACACAAAGCAAACGCACTCTCTGCAGCTAACTTCGACTGACTGACTTCTGTCTCAAGACAACATGAAGGTTATCGTTATCGGTGCAGGCATAACAGGTGTGTAGCATGACAGCACCTTGACCTGCGTCTCAGCCTTATTCAGGGCCGGTAGTCGCAATGCTCCTTAAGCACAAAGGGTTCGAGCCTGTCATCTATGAACGACATGCCACCCTACCAACAGGTGGGTTGATCATGCAGCTGAGCGGTCAAGTGTGAGTCCATGCCCAAGATCGTCAGGATGATATAGGCTCACAATGTTCAGATTCAAAGTGTTGAATATTCTCGGCCTGTTCGAGGAGGCCATCGCTCTGGCCCAGCCGTTGCAACGTCTCCTTCATTTGTCGGAATTGACCGGTCGCGTATTGGTCGATGCGTCTGTGTACGACCAAATCCGAGAAACGACCGGCTGGCCGATATGTGCTGTTGTCCGAGCGACATATTCCGCTTTCCTGATGGAGAACGCCACCAAGCGTGGGATTCCTATCCACTGGGGAAAGAAGTTGGTCGATGTCAAGCAAGAGGGAGAGAAAGCGACCGCTGTTTTCGAGGACGGCACGACTGATGAAGGGGACCTGCTGGTGGGGTGCGACGGAATTCATAGTAAAGTCCGAGATGCGTTGTTTGGAAAGGCTAGCGCGGAATACACTGGTATCACAGCGGTATGCAGGAGATGTGGTGCGGTGGCTTGAAAAGAGCTGATACATGCCAGATCGGCGGTTTCACCCCATTTTCTGACACTCTGCGTCCAAAGGCTCCACATACGGTACTGCAGGTTTCGGGAGAAGGATGCACTTTCATTTCGTTGCCGACAAGTGAAGACAAGTACATGTGGGCGATTAACGTCCCAGGCGAAGGGGAAATGATGGAAGACTGGAGAACTGCTAGCAGGCAGAAGGTAACTGATATGCTCGCTTCGCTCCCACCGGCCAGCTGGGGAGGAGAGGCCGGCCGGATCATCATGAACGCAGCGGAAGTTGTTCGAGTAAGTCCATAGCAATGTCGGAGTAGTTCCGAGACTGACACGACAGCTGTCAGTTTGGTCTTTACCTGCGACCCATTCCAGAGGTATGGTACAAGGGCCGAGCGGTACTCGTGGGAGACGCTGCTCATCCGACCGCTCCTTTCCTAGGACAGGGAGCCAACCAGGTGCTTTTGTGTTAAACGGATAGCAGACCATGTTGATGACAGACTTCTAGTCGACGGAAGATATTTATCATCTCGTTCGTATGCTCGTCAAGCATGATCCTTTGACAAATGAGAGCCTTGAAGAAGCGTTTCGCGAGTATACCACCATCCGTCGTACTCGCGTCGTGAGGACCATCGAGCAGACCAAGAGAGAAGGCGCCGGAAGGATCGCGAAAACCAGAGAGGAACTCATGGCGAGAGAGGCAGAGCTAGTGAAGGGATTGGAGAGCGCGACGTGGAAGGTTATTCTTGAAATGGTGCAAGGTCCGTTTGCTGGAGAGAGTGAGATCTAAATATCCGCCCTACTTTGGTCGTGCCTTGTGCACAATCAGCCTTGACGTATAAGAAAGTTTTCGAGGCGCATGCTGCGATCGGCCTGCTTTGTACGTGTGTAGTTGCTAGAAATTACGTGGCGCATATGTATCGTTGGCATTCGCGACTCGGTGCTGACTTGCTCACCATCTGCTGACACGGACCATAAGTAGCCAAGATCGCCATTTGACGCATGAGCAACGCCGAGGCCCGTTGCTGGTCCTTTCCTCCTTCCTATCCGCCTTGATCGAATGCCTCCGTTGGTGGTAGTTTCGAATTTGTGTTCTATTCGCGTTTTCAAGCATGATCTTCCATCTCAATGTGCTGATTTTGGTTGGTTGATTTCGTTGCAGCTTGAGGGAGATAGGCGCGAACTTCTAAAGACCAGAGAAAGTCATCTGTAAATTGGTTCTGCATGTGGCAGGGTTGATCAAGAAGACGGGGTGCACCGCATTAGAAAAGCATGACGTAACCTTTTTGTTGCCTGCCCCCCTCTCCTCCCGAAAACGCCGAAGTCGAACTTGGGGACCCGAACATTGAAAATAATAATCATTTGGAAATCATTTCACCTTGAACACGTTGGGAATGAAATCTACTCTTACATCAACATAATATTTACATATTTGAAATAAATCACAATGCAAGAAATTATGGGTTTTTGGCTTTAAGGATGCCAGGGTGCAGTGGCTGTGCGTCAGTCGGAGCCGTCAATTCTCCGTTTGACCCAATGGGAGGGCTGCAAAAGTGCGGACAAGGGGGGAAGCCGTGGCACAGATTTTCTCGAACAGTACATGTACTAGCCAGCAATTACAATTACGCTGTGCTCAAGCGGGTATCTCTCCATGGAAATAGGGGATCGTTCGGGGGTGAAGAAGACAAGAACACCGGGCAATCACGGCGAATTACTATCCAGGCCAACAATGAGGCTGTGGCCTTCCTTGTACTACTTATGTCTGGCAAAGAGGCTCTTCTGAGTGATAGGGGCAACCGTGCTGGAGCTTTGCACCTTGAACAGCAAGTAATCACTCAATGAAAGTACTTATTATCGGAGCGGGGATTGCTGGTAAGATCTCAAAACTCTGGAGGATGTTTTGTTGCTCATTGCGGTCCTAGGACCTGTGCTTGCCATGGTGCTGAAGCACAAAGGCTTCGAACCGGTGATCTACGAGCGTTATGCATCGGTCCCAGCTGGGGGACTGGCCCTTGCGTTGAGCGCCCAGAGGTGAGCTCGATTTATCTGTGTTGGTCACATTGTAACGCAAACTAGCTTCAAAGTCCTCAACATCATTGGACTCGCCGATGAAGCCGTCGAGCTCGGGGTCCAGACCGACGGTTTTGTACAACGTTCAGAAATTACCGGTCAAATCCTACAAGAGCGTTCGGGGCGGCAGCCCATTCTCCGCGGGCAAACTGGGTGGCCGATGACGGTAACGCTCAGATCAAAGTATTGCGACTTCATCGTGAAGAAAGCCGAGCAAAGGAGCATTCCCATACATTGGTCCAAGAAGCTTGTCGATGTCAAGCAAGACGACGACAAGGTGATTGCTGTGTTCGAGGACGGGACCACGGATGAAGGTGATCTTCTTGTTGGATGTGATGGACTTCACAGCAAGGTCCGCGATGCATTGTTCGGGAAGACGCCAGCCGAATATACGGGCGTCGTCGTGGTAAAGTACTCTTTTCTGGTAGGAAGTTTCACTGAAAGACAACAGATCGGCGGGTGGACTCCGTATACAAACGAGCTTCATCCGACTGGTCAGCTCACTTCCTTATCCGTCTTCGGAAGAGGATGTCACTTTTTCTCTTCTCCGACGGCAGAGAAGTATTTCTGGGCTGTAACCATGCCTGCCGAGGCTGAAATGCTCGAAGACTGGAGAATGGCAGGCAAACTTCAAATTGGTGACGCATTGGCATCGGTTCCAGCTACGACATGGAGTGGAGATACCGGACGAATCATTTCGGGCTCGGACGAAGTTATTCGTGTACGGACAACAAAGTCATTTTGTGAGATGAGAAAAACTGACGGAGGTCCTGTGTAGTTTGGTTTGTACTTGCGACCCATACCCCCCCGTCTGGCATAAAGGCCGTGCTGTCTTGCTCGGTGACGCTGCACATCCGATGACTCCGTTCCTCGGTCAAGGCGCGAACGTGGTATGTAAGCTCTACCAACTGTGATTGTACATATTGATGATCCGTGCAGACTGCGGAAGATATCTATCATCTCGTCAGAGCACTGGTCTTCAATGGCCCACTGACAAACGACAGCATTGAGAAGGCATTCACCGAGTATACCGCCATCCGGCGGCCCAAAGCCGAGGCAGTTTTCGAGCAAAACAAGCGGGAGCTCGCCCATAGGCTTGCGACTAGCGAGGAAGAGATCAAAGCACGCGACGAGATGAAGTCTCGGGGGATGAACAGCGACGCGTATAAGCTTGTCGCAGAGATGGTGCAAGGTCCGTTCACCGGAGAAAGTGAGATATAGGGGGTGATGGCAATGGGTCCAAAGGAATTAACCCTTAGTCAAAGTCATGATGTAAATGCCGAAGTGTGTTGCTTCTCTTGCTCTCCCCAAGATCGAACCAGCAACGAGGAGGAAAGTGAAGACAGATTGCCGTGGAGGTTGCAAAGCAGAATATCCCGATGCCGTCCGAATATCCTTCTCCACTCTTCCCGAGTTCCACCGACTCTTCATACAGGGAAACCAAGTACGGCACAGGCCACCAACCAGTGCCTAATTCCTCCTCAAACGAGACGGCAGGTGTGCGTTAGTTGACGTGAACTGCGGCGATGACAATACCACCGCTGGCGAGAGCGGGGGAGATATCGCCGTGAACAGGTCATCCTCATGCTCGAAACTTTCCTATATAAAGTCCCAGCTCAATCCATTTAAAGACATCAACGAAAGTCCAAACAGCTTTCATCCATTCATCCAGAACTTGTTTGTGGTACGCTATCATGAAAGTTCTTTTGATCGGGGGTGGAATTACGGGTCGGAATTACTGCTATTCGGAAAGACATAGCATATTGCTCACTTATAGTCAGGTCCTGTACTCGGAATGCTTCTGCAGCATATTGGGCACGAACCAGTCATTTTCGAACGTCAATATGAGCCATCATCGGGAGGAATCGCATTGCAACTGACGCCACAAACGTGAGCAATCTATCTGAATGCCAAAGTAATCGCTCACGACACTCACCAGAATGAAAGTACTTCGAATTTTGGGACTGGACGATAAAGTCATAGCTCTCGGAAAGCCCCACAGGAAGATGAGGTACTGCTCCGAAGTCAGCGGCAAGGTACTCTTCGAGAGTGATACTGCACCTGGGAAGATTTCCGAAGCCTTGGGTTGGCCGATGATGTGTGCAACCGAGAGATCAGCATATACCAAGCTACTGGTGGACGAGACACAGAAACGGGGCATCCCAATATACTTCAATAAACGACTTGTGGACGTTAAGCAGGATGGCGAGAAGGCGACCGCGATCTTCGAGGACGGGACGACCGAGTCGGGAGACTTCCTTGTAGGTTGCGACGGTCTTCATAGCAGTGTCCGAGATTCGGTATTTGGTGGAGTTGTGCCGACTTACACAGGAATTGTAGTGGTTCGCATCCTTGCTCGAATGATGCCCTCTCCTGCTGAAATTGTGCAGGTTGCAGGGCGTGCAATTATTCCTCCAGGCTTTGATGCCAGTTGGGCCACGCAGATCTTCGGTGAAGGCGGGCACATGTTCTTCGTCCAAACAACAGACGACCATGTTTGCTTTGGATGTACTTACCCTGAACCGAACGACGTGAAGGAGGACTGGCGCAAAGCGACGCCAGAGCAGGTGCAAGAGTGGTTGAAGGGTATACCCCAGACACATTGGTCTGGACCGCCGGAAGAGATATTCAAGCATGCCGATCGCATAGTCAGGGTGGGTCTTCCGGTGTCGTGACTGAATGTATTGGCTGACTCGCTCACAGTTCGGGATGTATCAGCGACCCATCCTCCCTGTTTGGCACAAGGGTCGAGTCGTTTTATGCGGAGACGCAGCTCATCCAACAGCGCCATACATCGGACAAGGTGCGAATCAGGTAAATCTGCGTCCTGAATTCCAGGGCTCAGCTGATGCTTCGCCTGCGAAGTCTTTGGAGGATTGCTATCACATGGTCCGCCTGTTAAAGAAGTACGAGCCGCTGACCACAGAGAGCTTGGACAAAGCATTCACCGAGTATGGAGAGTTGCGTTACCCTCGAGTCACCAAAGCTGTGCAGCAAGCAACCCAGGAGGGTAAGTATAGGATCATGACAGGCCGGGATGCCTGCCTAGAGCGCGATGCGATGCTTGCCAAAGGCATGGAGACGCAGTCATGGAAGGTCATTCTGGACATGCTGCAAGGACCGTACGAGAAAGAAAGCCAGATCTAGTTCTTCCTTTGGTAGAAGAGCATATCATAGTATGTTCGCATTAGAGCCCCGCTTGTCGGAATCAGCGGTGGGCATGATATAATGGTGAACGTTTGTCCTTCTCCAAGTTTTAATTCCTCCGATGACCCCTTTCGGGCGCATCTTGCCTACAATGACCCCTCGGGGACACATCCCTGAAATGATCCCAAGGCCTGCCCTAAGCAACCAGGGATTTTCGTGGTAGTAGGAGTTCAAGAGGTGGTAGGGTCCGGTCCATGGTGTCAATACGTTCCGACCCAAGCTTTGTTTTGTTTCGAATTAGTTATATTACACACAAATTAATTCTGCATGGATGCCTCTTATAATAATTCACCGATTTTTACCATTGTAAACATAGGTGAGAGACCACTGCACTTTTACAGCAAGGCAGTGAATTTTGCAGCAGTTCTTGAAAATAATGGATACCATACACAATGCCAACCAGCTTGTCTTTTGAAAAAGGTCTGTTTTCATAGCAAAATATTCAGAAAAACGCGTTGTTGGATTGACCGGAGGGAAGGGGCAAGATGCGCACGAAAGGGGTCATCGGAGGAATTCACTGCGATGGCGATGCGACAAAGGGCCGGAAGCAACAAGTGATTCATTTTCATCACGTGATGAGAACCAGGACGCGCGGCCACTCACGCGCGTTGCTTCCCCGACTCCCTCATTCTCACACCATCCTAGGTCACCCGCTGCTTTGGCAGCACCAACATCTTCAGTATTTCTGACCTCTGGAGAATACTACTTGCTCTTGATCTAGATATATTGCACCACGGAAGACAACCTTGGATAATCATCCTGCCCCGACATGGCTACGGCAGTCTCCTTCGTTGCACCTCACGGGCTGCAGACTTGGGCTCTGCAGGTTCAAACAAGGATCGCCAGACAATCAGAAATGGAAACCCTTAATGAGATGGTGACAATTCAGGGTGATCAATGGTTAGATGCATACTTCGATGATCTGTTGAGGGCTGGGCCTCACATAGGGTGTGTAGATATTGACATAGATGACTAACGGAAACTGATGTGTATCATAGAGGTATCGCTGAGCTGGTCAAAACACCGGGAAAGAAGAGGGAAGGAATGCGCACCAGAGCTGTGGCCTCAAATGCTGCAGTTAAGAATGCAAAGTTGGTTACTGCAAATAAGGTGCGCGCACCCGCTCCCCTACAAGGCATGTAGAATTGATGGGCAAATAGAATGCCGATAAGGAGAACGCACCCCTTATCAACACTCCGACCAACAAGAAGACTACTCGATTCCAACGTGCTTTAATGGCAGTCAAGGAGGATCAGACTACAGAACCCACCGAAGTAATGGTTACGCCTCTCAAGAAGCCAGGCCGTCCGACGAAGGCAACCAAGCCTATACTCTCAGACCAAGTTCAAGAGACAATCGAAACTTTGCCCAGCCCCCCAGGACCCCCCGAGCCGGAGAGTGCAGCTGCAGACGGTACGAAGCCGACACGTCAAGTTAAAGGGAAAGGCAAAGCGGCGAAGAAAGGAAAGGGAAACAAGAAGGCAGCACCGTCAAAGATCGAATCGCGGAAAGGATCAGAGGCCATACTCGAACTGCCGCCCGTTGATAAAAATGATCTGGAAGCTGAAGGTAGCAAAGTCCTCGACCCCAACTTTGCTGACTATTTGCCACTGGCTGACACAACCGCTACGAGATCCTCACGGACGCCAGCGCTCGTTGAGACCAGCTTGCAGGGCTTGACGCCCCATAAACCCACTTTCTCCACGGTATCCCAATCACCTATGGAGTCGGTTTCCTTCATTCACCCAACAATATCGCTCTCCTCCACCCACGAAACTACAAATCTGAACGGCGCTCTCACTGGTGAGGACACCCTTCCAGAAGTCGAAGCCCTGGAGGAAGCCCTTGAAGCTGACTTCATCCAAATTGTTACAACGATGGAAGAGCCCACCTCTATACCAGGTGCTGAACTCTCTTCGTTATCTGTCATCCAAGAGGATGATGAAGCTGAGTCTCCACCTGCATCGCATGTCCCTCTTCCTATCAAGGTCCCTGCCCAATCATCAGTACCGTCCGACCAAGGGCCTGTACCTGCACCTGTTCAAGAGAACCACATTAAGCCTCCATCTCCCAAAGTCTCGCAACCTAGCCTCGACGAATTTGCCACGGCCCCACTTCCTACTCGCCCAGCTCGCATCACGTTGGGTGCCGCTATGAACCCAGGGCAAGGGATGCCGCGTGCTTCTCATGCGAATGTTGGCCCACCTCCCGTGCAGATGCGCCCGTCTGTTGGTCTTCGCAGTTCCTGGCTCACGAAGGCTCTGCGGGAGGACAGCGCTCTTCCTCCTGCCCCTGCTGCGACACAGCTAATTGGTGCACCGAACCCAGTCATTCAACAACCTGCCTCCACAGGCGTTAAACGCAAGTCTTCGGAGCTTGAGGAACACTCATCTACCAACGCACTCACTGTCCCTGTCGGGGAGGAGGAACGAACGAACAAAGTGCGAAAGATCGCTCCAACTCCAGACAAAGAATTGTCCAAGAGTCTGCGAACTGAGAAAGTCATGAAGGAAGAAGATGCTGAGGAGACGGGGATTCTTGATCGTGTCAGGGGCAAGGTCGAAGGCTTACTTGTCCGTGCCGATAAAGAAGAGGATAGAAAGGGGACCGCAGACAGCGGGAGGGAGAGCAGCTTCAGCTTCAAGAAGTTCGCAAGTCGCCTGAGCGTATCCGACCTTGTGAGCGTCTTTGAACGTCGTGATATTGTGCCGGCATTGGAGCAGAATACTTCAACTCTGGAGCCACCGCTCATATCAAACAAGGCTGTCGAGAAGGGCGTGGAGCTCGTTCAATCCACAACGCCGTTCAACTCGCCGCCTACAGCGCCGAGCCAAATTCCCGATCTCCCAACCGAGTCTCACACTGGTATGGCTCTCAACGCTCCTGGAACGAAGCTTGGTGGTGCATTTGCTTGGGCTTCAACCTCGCCATCTCGTTCGCATATGCAACCACCTTCACAAGAATCCGCCCCGTCTCAGTCAACGCAATTCACCGGATCTACTTATGTGGCTGACACACAAAATCCTTTCACCCAGGAGACTGCAGTGGGATCTCAGCCTTCTTTGAAATACACTGACGGCGTCAAATTTGTACCGTCCCAGCTGTCTCGTACCAACTCTGTAGAGGACATGGAAGACGTAGAGTATATGATGGATGCCTCATCCAACCCAGCCCAGTCTGACAAGCCTGCAAAAACCAACGATGAACGCTACCTATTCCAAGGTACAGGTGAAACAAGCGTCTTTGCCCAGTACCAGCATTTGGATAAAGGAGAAACGAATCATGGGCAGGCTAGCCAGACGAACAAAGTAAGACTCGCCTGCGGTGCTGAAGGACGATCACTGATATATTGGTAGCTGGGAAAATCCATGGTGTCTACCGACATCCTCAGCCCATCTTCTGCTTCTGAAGTTGTGCCGTCTCAATCTTCGCCTGGGCTATTTGCGCAGGCTGGTGCATTCGTCTCCAAAGCTCTCGGTATGAGCACCTCCATAGGACCTTCGAGCAAAACGGTCAAAGTGAATGCCCAGCCAGTCAAGTCTTTGGCGCTCGCCGCTGCAGCCGCGAAGAAGGTATTTATTTCCCCTATTGACATACCACTCTTGCTGACCTACCGCAGGAACAAATGGAGAAAGACCGAAAGGCGGCACGCGCCAAGGAAGTAGAAGACCGCCGCGTTGCAGCAGCACATAGAAAGCTGGAAGAAGAGAAAGCCAAGGAGGAAGAGGTGAGAAAGGCCAAAACGGCAGAGTTGGAGAGGCGGAAGAGGGAAAGAGAAGAAGCTTCTGCGGCATCGAGAGCACGGTTGTATAAGACCAAAGTTGTAGGTGCCCCGCTTTTGGTTTCAGTTATGCATCTCATGCCGCTATCCAGTCTTCTGATGATGAGTCTAACAAGAAGCGCAAGCTGGCGATAGAGGCTGAGCGCAAGCCTGCTATTCTGAAGAAAGCGCCATCACAAGACACATTACGGAAGGGTATGAAAACACCGACGCCGTCGACAGGAACCTCCGCCATATTAAAGTCCAGCAAGACTGGAGGAATGCCCTCCCGGCCCGCAGCTATCACCGGTGTGCAGATGAACAAGTCTACAAGTTCCACGCGTTCTACTCAAGCAGGTCCGTCGATTGAGTCCGATCTCGCGGCCGAAGCCCAGGTCCCCCCAACCAAACCAACAACCGCAATCGCCGCAACAGTCGATGCTGCTCAATCAAGCTCTTCCGCTCTCAAAGGGGGAGCACTTCGTACTTACGTTATGTCGACAGCCAAAGCGGGAGCCTCGCAAGGGCAGTTGAAAGTCAAGGAGTCTTTGGGTGATGGCAGACAACCCTTGCAAGCCATTCAGGCGGCTATGCATGCTCGAGCCCAAGCACAGATCCAGGCTGCCCAAGTACAAGTAGAGGAGCAAGCTAGAGTCGCTTCTGAACAAATTGATTTGCCTGACATCGCCACCGAGTACGTTCAAAGTACATCTATCTATTTTTCCAGCTCACCTTGTTGAACAGGTATTCAGACTCGGATGATGAGGACCGCGTTCGCAATTACACCATCCCCCACTGGGCGAACTCACCCGAACTGCGCAACCAACTTCAGGCGCAGAGTAATATCAATCCAGACTCCATTTTTGGAGCAATTCGGCCTCTGCATATGGACGAAATCTTCCGCAGCAGGCAAAGTCGGTTCAGGGCCCGCACCAGTTCAGCAAACTGGATCGGACAAGACAGGCTTACCCCTCAAGAGGAAATGGACTACGCAAGGCGAATGGGCTTCTTGTAGATCACATCGCGTCTCAACCCTTTGCCTCGCATTTTGACTTCTGCGTTCCGTGCGTTCTCCTGTCTCGCCGCTATCCGTCACATTGGTAATACTAGCGTCCAATCTTCCGCATATCGGACGTAACCTATATCCCATCATCCCTGCAACGCCTTCAAGCTCATTACAAATGCACATTCACCAATTGTTACTTTTCCATGAATGGAGTGTATCCCGATTCAATGCATACGTTTGTCACAGATGGAGCACCCATTAGGGGAACTTGATCCTCAATTATGAGAGCTTATTCAGATATGTAGGTAAATTGCCTGGTACCACATTAGGGATTCAACATACTGTATGCACTATGAGCTTGTGACTGAGGCAGCAACCGCGGCGCGAGATATTTTATCAGCCAGCCGAATGGGCTCGGGTATCTTATATCTACCCAAGGCCAGAGTGACTCGTATAGCTGTATCGAGGCATACACGATGTCCTGGGGAGACAAAAAGTGGTGCTTTCAACGTCGGGGGTATGAGTGCCTAAGGCTGCGTCAGCTAACACTTGATTGTGGTGAGAAGCGCAGGTCCGGCTTACCGCACCCGCATATGAGTCACCCTTAGCATCATATAATCCGAACCATGAACCATGACTCAAAAGAACACGGCGTATCATCTCCCGCATCCCATGCTGCGTAGAGCGCCAATGTGCAGTAGAGGTTGCCCACGGTTGTCCTTGCAAACTATCTTGGTGATGGGGCAGATAGTTCTTGGCCACACCAATCTACGAGCAACATCAGCATCAAACTCCTCGTTAGCACGTAAAGAACACGCACTGTTGGGACATTCGCCTGTACTCCCACGACAGAAGCAACTCCTGTTTCGCGAACATGAAGCCTTCCGTTTCCATCTATTAAGAACACCTGAGGGAATTGGTCTTGCTCGTTCCTTGCCGCCAGCTCTTCTCGCAGTGCATTGATGAGTCTTAAGTACACGGGCGCCTCTCGATATGAAAAGAATGTAGGGATGTACGGCACGTCCATGTGAATCGCGTGCGTGATTGTGTGTCGTAGCTGTACGTGTGATTGAATCAGCACATGTGCCCAAGCGTGTGAACGGTTTACACGGACCTCTAGAGAGGGATATTCGACCACAACCAATGTCGCGTACGCATTGGGTCCATTCTCAGTGACGACCACATGACTTTGGGACTCCTCTGACTCAGTCATACCTGAAGAGTCTTCTGACTGTTGGACGAAGCTAATATCGAGCCCTCCAACGTATTTGAGGGCGGTCACGAGAGGTTCGCCGATGTTGACCTGATGGACCTCGGGAACGTCGAAGTCGTGTTGTACGACACTCATCTCATGCTGGAAGTCTGATCCGCTTGTGGGAACGAAGAAGTCTAGCTCGTGGTCGACAAAGAGGACAGACTTTCTCAGGGAATGTTGCTCTCTGGGATGAAGATGTGCTCAAGGCGTGGACGGATGTAACGGAACTGATTGCGTACCTTGTCCACTCTGCTATCAACTCTTTGTGTTCTTCCAGCATTCGCGTGGTGTACGCATCCTTCGATTCCATTTGATGATCAAGCCTGGGGAATCTGAAGAAGCAGCGGTAATAGAGTGAGGTTGAGCCAGACTACCATTGGCCTTGGCCGCGCTGATGGTCGTCGCCCTAGAGTTGACAACAGTGTCATCGTGACTCGGTGTACATGAAGGAGGTGGACGAGCCGGCAGACTCAAAACCCTGCTTTTGAGCCCTCAAATTCCTTGCAGCTTCCACGTATGGCTCTCCCGGTACGATTTCGAGTCAAATACACCTGTTTACATTGCTGGCTCTACTTTATCTTCCTGAACCTCGTTTGCATGAATTGAAGTGCCGGGCATCCGCATGCATCTATTACGGTGCAGTCCAAAACCGCGGATTAACAAAACGGTCTCGGCTTCTGTCAACCTGGACAAGCGCCTTCTCACGGATTGGAAACGTACGGCTCCTCAACGTGCATCACTGGTCTTCGTCCACCTAAGCTAGACTTCTTGACGTTGGCGCCCCTGTGAGGATGTGCACAGCACGGTTTGCTCACAATCCATTGTGGGAGCTGCTGTTGCCTTTCTTCCGAGATTCGGGGTATCATCCCAGGAGGCGTACCTCCCGAAATGCCGGGAGAAGAGAACAGAAGACAAATGATATCGACCTCAACGTGGATTCCCTGGTTATTCTTCTAAGCCATTTGTAGGAAGACGGACTCTTCCTTTGCCTCGTCCCACTTCTCGGCACCGCTATTGGTATCCGCGATGATTTTCACGCCGTCCCTAAACTCTGGACCGTTACGGGTACTTTCGCGTGCGGTTAGTCTAAACTGGGACGCCAGAAGCGCGTGGAAATCCGCTCAACTGGCTGGGTCCGAGTTTGAGACTGAACTTTCACCCCCAAGGCCGCCTGAATCGGTCGTCGTGTTCGAATCTCCATGCCTCCATGCCTAGCTGCGGAGTTCAGTCCTCACCCGTCTTGTGGAGGACCTACAAGGCATGGACAGAAAGATGCAGCACATCTCGAGGAGTTCTGATTGACAAAACTTCCGAACCCAAAATCGACGAGGTAGCGATCATATTTGCGAAGAATCAAGCAGGCCCTATCTCTCGTCCATTTACGCCTGTGACAGAAGGTGAGAAATTTACGTTTTGTATTGTTGGTGGGCTGATAATAGGTTCTTTTATGCACTATGAGTTCTTGTATATCCTTGAGGCAAGTCCAACTTCACAGGACCGACGGTCGGGTCTGAAGCTCACCCGAGCATGACAGACTGATGCTCAAGTTGGACGCCCCTCCTGTCGTTGTGGGGTGATTCGTCTTCTAGAAGTGTTCCATGATGGACGAAGCGGACAAGAGTAGGTGACGTACAACCACATTTCAGCTCCGTCATTCCTGATAGGAGCGAACTGTGCCTGCTTTCTCTGCTGATCCCCAAGCGCAGCATTCCTCTTATGATTCAAAGCAGGACGTATCTTCCTTTGGATTCTTGGGAGCAGAGCCTGGCCTCTGACCACCTCAGGGTCATTACGCAAATGGTATGACGGTAAGTCATGTCAGATTCTTTCCAGAGCAATGGATTTTCTTCAGGCATAGAGGTCGCTCGCCCGCACGAATACGTATGAACATCACACCGACCCAGGCCACATGCCCGCCGCACCCTGTATCTTGATTGGTCGCAGCAAACGGGTGCGGAGCTGGACAAAGCCGTGAAGTCAGGGTCATATGGAATAACAATGGCCCATCAAAAGGGGCTTAGTTCCACTGACTCTGATTGCAAAGACATCGACAATCACGATTCTGTTTAGCTAGAAGAGGGATTGATCCGACTTGTGGCGTGCTTCGGCTGGGCGCGGCGTGTGTTCTGTTATCAAGATACACCTTCGGAAGGGCCACGATGGCCGTTAAAGGGGCAAAGCCCTGCCTGCTCTACCATGTCACTGGTTGGTTTTGCCGAAGAACAGGCCGTTCATTCGGGGTTGGTTGCTGATGGAGTATAGGTTCTCTTTGTATCCAGGAGCCTTTTTGTATAAAGCTCGCGGCATGATCGCTCAGGTTTCAATTGTAGCACCGCAATCATCCCTGAGTCGCCGATATTTTTTGTCTACTCCTCTCGGTCAGTGGCAGGCCCCGACATCAAACCAACCATTTCGACAATATGTCGGGCTCTGGAATGGCGTCGCTACAGGAGGTACATGGGCGCATGTTCAACTCGCAGAACTCGGTGAGCCATTTTGTACAAGGGTTGTTGAGCGCCGAGAACAACTGGGACTGAGTTTCAGCAATATGCGCTTCCGGCGGATCAAAAGGAATATGACCGCCTTGACCAGCAGCATCTGATGCATAAACTGGCGCTGGGCTCATTGTACTATCCGATCGATCTCGTGCAGGCAGCTCTCGAGCCCGTAGAAGGAGAACAGAAAGCTATCATGGACCTAGGCACGGGAAGCGGGATCTGGGCAGTCGAAATGGCCGTAGCATTCCCATATGCCCAAGTGATGGGATTTGATCTTGCGCCGCACATGAACAGACCACGGCCTCCCAACTGTTAGTAAGTTTGATCTTTCCTAGATTTGTGGAGAAGAAGTTGGAAGTTGACATTTGTGGACAGCTTCGAGCAAGGCGACTTCACCCAGGGCATGGGCCGGTTTGCAGGACAGTTCGACGTTGTACACGCTCGGTCTGTGAGTCAAGGGGTAAGATTATCCAAAGGTCTTTCCATAATGTCACTAACGTGCCGTACAGATGCGCAATCATGTGATGTACATGCATGAGCTTGCTTTGCTTCTCAAACCGAGCGGAGTCTTGTTGATGATTGATGGACATCTCTCCTTCACTGATCAAGCATACCGTAATCTGAATCCGGTTCCCGAAGGCAATCCTGGCCACTCGTATGTGGTTAACTTGCTTGCTAAGGCAAGTGTAGCGATGAAGGGCAGAGGAAGTCAGCCCGACAGCGCCGTCATGCAGAAGGGCTGGGTCGAGGGTTGTGGGCTGTTCCAGAACATTGGAAGTCGAGTGGTGTACACCCCTATTGGGGCATGGTATAGCGGTGGGTGCCAGTTTCGACCACTGGCATCGTCTCTTCAGATATTGACTTGGGTTTCCAATGATCATGTAGGCCAGGATCCGAATTCACGCCGATTGAACACCATCGGTGCGACGATGGGGGAGAACTTGCTGTCCTTTATGGGGGCGATCAGGCCGTTGCTGATCGGTTATGGATTCGGCGAGGATCAGGTTGATTATGAAATTGGCAAAGCGGCCGAGGAAGTGCGAAGCGGAACGAGGCGATACTATACCCAGTGGCATTACCTCTGGGCAACAAAGCGTGCTTGACGGACGGGAGATTGGAAGGGCAACAAGAAAGGCGTTGACAGAGCTGCGATAACTTGATTTGCGTAACAGACATTGACCGTAAAGGACTACATTTCCTCATTTTGTGACGTAGACACGTCGGCTCGTCGTCGCTTGTCATCGTACCGCATCTGCGGTGCTTGATACCGATCGAGATAAAACGCGAATTCAGAGTCTGGGCGCCAGACCGCCCGTTGAGACCATTTCACTGGTGAAATTTTCGAAACCTTCCCCTTTGTCAAGTCATGCAATGGTCCAGCAAACTGTCCGACGGCGTGTCAATCGAGATCCTGGGTGATGGTTCCACAACAGCCAGAGCATAGAAGCGCCTGGGAGCCTGAGCCGGGAGGGAAAGACCATTAGGCGGCGCGGATTTGCGAAACATCTTAAAAGCCATACAGACCATTCTTGTAATGGGCGGCGCGGATTTGCGAAACATCTTAAAAGCCATACAGACCATTCTTGTAATGGACAGCGTTGACGTTGGATACCATCGCGCCGGCGCGCACAAGGTGATCGGTGTTATCGCTCATGATGGTGGATGGTTCGAGTAGTATCGACAGCAGTGTCGGTGTTGGGGAGATCTGGCTGATGGGTGCGCACGGTAGCTGCCAGAGCAACTCTAGATCGATGCCTGGACCAGGGAGTGGTGGTGACTGAGTTGTGATTACCCAACGATCGTCAACTGTCGATATTCGATATGTTGCATTGGTCACAATACCCCGATCCTCATTCCACCAACTGCTGCCAAAGCAACCAATGAAGGCACGCGATAACAGCTCATACCTCTGGTCCTCGTCCTTACCGAATAGGATGCCTTCGATGGTGGTGTGATCAATCACGTCGTGCTTGTATTCAACGTGGTACGGTAAGCCCCGATTGTATGTAAACACGCACGGTGGGAAAGGTCATATCCTGTGTGCAATCCTTGCCAAATGCACATTCCAGCATGTCGGCACAACCAATGATGCCGCCTTTCTCCTGTTGATTGCAAGCAGGAGGGGGAATGACTTCGACAGCAGGGCAGGATGTCTCGGAGGTAGTGGGCTCACACAACTTGAGAGCGATCATCGCTCCGAGACGTCCTCATCACCAAATAGAGTCACATGGCGCCCCCGAAGAGGAACTGGCAGTGCTGGCAGGGTTTTGAGTCTTGACGAATTTGCGTAGCAACGAAGAGAATGCCGTGCCCTCACTTATGCCGTAAATGAAGTTCCACCGGACTGACTCCGGAGGTAACCACGCGCGCCAAGAAATGATTAAGTAAGCACGCTGTGCATCGCATCGGGGGCGGTGGGTTTCGCTCAGTCATGGTCATGGCCCACTGAAAGTTGCACTCGTACACGTATATTCATTCCACTGACAGCGCTGGTTCGTATTCTCTTCTCTTGACAGCTCTGACTTCTAATGAAGGCTACATAGCTTTGGTAGTGACCAACCATGGCTTCGAACGCGCCTCCACCAGAATACACCCTATCTTCACATGAGGAAGCTGGGAATGCGTCAGCACATCCGGCAACTGCGGATTCACCTAGCGCAGAACCAGCAGCAGAACAGCTTCAAGTAATAATCACACCCACGCAGAACGCGACCGACTTTCAGAATGGAGCACTAGGGATAGAAGGAGAGCATGCGACTATCGAAGGCGAGGTGCAGATAAAGGGCGCACAAGAGGGAGCGTGGCAAAGAGTGTACGCGCATGCGTATATGCGCATATAGGAACACTGCTGACAATTCTCATTAGGTCAATAACATTCCAAACCGTGGAAAACTCTCCCGAGCAGACGGTTGAACTCGGCAATGTCACGCAGGACCTCTACGTTCGAGCGCCACCATCTGCGTCGTCGTCAACGACCATTATACTACCACTCCCAAGTTCATTACCCTTCGTCATTCCGCTGCAAGCCGACACCCCAGAATGCGTGCACACTCCAAGTTCTTCTCTTTCACACTACCTCATCGTAGCGCTTCTCCCGACGGACCCTCTGTGTGCCTCCTTTGAGCGCAAAATACCCATACACCTGCGCCGATATTCTACTGCAAGCGCACCTCTGCTTCCGACGCTCCCCTATGAGCTAAAGCTTGCGGATCCCGTCCCGTTTAGAATTCAGCTCCCGAGGCTCGAATTCAGGGTTGGCGAACCAATCCCGGTATACATTACCATACCGCCTCCAGACCGGCAGCATCTCAACCGGATCGGCCTACGACTCCGGAACATCAAGGCAGAGTTGGTGCGCGTGGTAGCCCTTATCGATGATGAAGATGCGACCACACCGAAAGGCGAACAAGGCAACTCAAGAGGTGAAGGAAGTAGCAGCACGAATTATACGCCGTACTTCAGCGACCGGAAGCAAGCAGGGAAGGACGGATGGCCTGATCTCGGATCTGGATCCAGCAGCTCAGATGGTTTAACGCATACAGCCGTCATGTCGAGGAGTGGTGCGGCATGTCGGTTCCACTCAACGAGATCGGTTAACGTTCGGCTTGTTCTGCACCCATTCTCCCTGAGCGCCGAGGTCACCGCATCTGGAGGGCAGCCGCGGATGCTGACCCAAGATCAACGGGAGGCCGAAGGGTGCGCGTCCATTACCCAGACAACTCTGTTGCACGCCGTATCATTCTATCTTTTGGTCCGCGTCGGATTCATATCTTCTACTGGTGCCGAACGAGGCGAAGTTAACAGCGAGCAAACTGTGCCTATCACCATGCTGCCTGGTCTTGCACCCATTGAAGAGGATGTAACTGCCAGCCAATACAGCAAGAAGCACGATGCACCGCCGGAGCGAACGTACCGATACGACTATGATGCTGCGCCTTCTGGATCCGGTCAAGAGGATATCGAAGGTGCCGCACCACCTTTCACTGCGTACGATGGGGCGAGCGGAGGAACATCGGCAGACCTTAGCGCACCACCGCCTTTCTTCTCGGATATTCCGGGCACACCGCGCCCTCCCAGTTTCATCGAGGCACAAACTACCTATTCCGTTGGTCCAAGCACGAGCGCTGGTGGCATGTCAATTGCCGAGTGGTCCACTGCCGATCCAAATCGGACCATTTTGCGCATTCCTGGTGAAGGGGAACAGTTCGGCTTTTCTTATGAGGACATCTATGACGGGTTTGGCGACGGATCGCGCACGCCTCCACCCCCTTTGTCCCGCGCAGAAGTTGAAGAGCCTCCTCCGCCGCCACCTGAGATCTCCCTCACAGATGTTGACGTCTCTAGTGCGGAGTTCTCCCAGATTTTGAACCAGACGACGCAGAGACTGCGGGCGATGTTAGACACCGCTAATGGAGTCGAGGCACCGCCACCACCTCCCGCTATGGATGACCCACTCGATCCTCCGCCGGCGATTGACGATGCGTATCGTCCGGTCATGCCAGCGCAGCACCCACTCCCACCGCCCGTTACTCGGCAGACAATCCCAGAGGAAACCGCCAGTCCTGCGACACCGCCTCCGCCTCATGAGGATGCCTCGCGCACGAATATGCACAGGGGAACGGAACCTCCGCCATACCTCGTCCAAGCTGTCATGGGTAGAAACCCGCACAGGCAGTCGCTACTCAATACGGATCAGCAAGACGGGCACGGTCCCCCGCCGTATTCTGACTTTGCTGGTGGACCGCCTACGTGATGTGCCGTAACTTCTATTCCAATGTACGGATAATTAGTGATATGAAGTGAATGGGATAAGAACGCGGAGTAAATAACATTGCGCAGCACAGGATGGGTATTGTTCGAAAAGATACATCGATACATAGTACAGACATCACCGTCGTGATTTCACGTTATCGACATGGATAGACACAGGAATCTAGAATGAAAGTGGCATGATCAGGGTTTTTTCTTTCCTTCCGATGCCCAACGCGACACCTCGACAATTACTGCCTCGTCCACTCCTTTGATGCGCGATAACAGGTGAAGCAAATCATCTCGCGGGAAAACTCCGGGTTCATCATTCCCATCCCTATCACCATACCCAGCATCATCTCTTGATCCGAACGGCAATATCTTCGATGTCGTAAAGCTATCTTGGCGATCAACAATGATGCCAAGCGTCTCAATCAGACGTCGACATTGCACGCTGAACGGATTCTTGTCCCACTCGGCGGCAATGGGCTGGCCATTGGCTGTACTGATTTGGCGCTCAATCAGGCCACGGAGGAGTTTGCGATAGCTGATGTCTTTTCGCATCCTCGTTTTCAGGCTAGCCGGAGCTAGGTAAGCGACGCTATACAAGCAGAGGGTGATTCGCTCGGAGTAAGCCAGCCATTCGAGGTGGTTCTGAAGCCGGAACAACTGCAAATCTTGCTCTGAGACCGGTAACATGTGGCAAAGCCCGTCGAACAGTGTCCATAGTTGAGTTGGAGAGAATGCAGACATGACATTACGATTCTCATCCGTGATCATCATGCGCGAGAGTGCCTCAAGAGCATGGTCCGCAGTTGCTGGAGGCTTGTACCAAACTTCTGGGGACATATTCTGAGCCCGTGGAACAAGGAATTGTACCGATGCCTTGATTGGTCCAACCGTATTGATCGGATCGATAACGAAGGAACTTGCGACTGCAAAAAGCGCATGACAGACATGCAGCGGGTTTGTGGCGAGCTTGATATCTGTCCCAATATTGGCCAGTATCATTAGCACCTGCTTGCGAACCTCGATGAGATCAGAAAGGGTGAAGCACGACACGAGAGGTGTGAACTGGTCCTCGACCTCGAATGCACAGAGCTTGGCCATGATCTCCAGGAAGCGAGTGAAAGTCGCCATGTACTTCTGGTTCTGATCGAGGAGGGTGAAATTAGAGAACAAAGTCAGGACGACTTTGATAATGCCGGTGGGCTTAGACAGTGGGTCCTTGTCCTGTTTGTCTTCGTTCCATAGCTCATCTTCCGTTGGAGGCAGCATTTCTAATTCGCCAGCGCGCTTGCAGAGCTCATGATGCGTGACGATTCTCTCCGCGCTGATCCCAGCAATAGCATTCTTGCGGAAAGTCGTATCTGCGGCGGCCTCGTTGTTCGGGAAAGCGCAGTCCTCGAGCAGGTCCAACAACACGGGTACGAGATCTTCGGTGTTTTTCAGCAAGAACCCATCAGGAAGTGCCTGTGGAAGCTTATCCAACAGGGACAAGAACGACAATATTGTGAGCGCATAGCTGAGCTCAAGCGCCAGGCCGGATCGAAGCGACATAACGATACGCTCGATATCCACAGTTCCGACTTCGTCTAGGGTTCTGAGGCCTCTGCGCGACTTTGTGGCGGCCAGCTCATTCTCGATCAACATAAGATTGCGCCCACCATGCAGGTCAAAGTCTTTCCGCCAGGGGATATATTCAATCTTCTTGCGTGGCGGCGGCGGTGGCAAGGCCGGCGCGGCGGGGAGGACAGGGATAACACTATCCTGTGCGGTTTGCGGCTGACCGGGCTGTTGAGGTATGAGACTAGACGGCGGATGTTGCGGTGGCGGGTGAACACCGTTCGTGTGGCCATTCGGTTGTGGTACGCCCTCGGGTTGTGCAACGCTTACCTCTGTCTGCGCTGTTACGACAGCGGGCGCACCATTCAAAGCCACAGGAGGGGGATGCTCAGCCTGGATCAGGGATCAGAACGAGATAACCAACAAATTGCAAATGACTCACTCCCGCACTCGCCTCCCGTTCCTCACTCCGAGCCTTCTTTCCTTCTCTCTCCTCCTCAGAAGCAGGAGCATCCTCACTCCCTCGTCTGCGTTTCTTCCCCTCTTCCTCCTCCTCCCCAACACTAGCGGGCGTCTCCCGCCTCTTCAGCGCCGGACTTTTGCTCGGACTGCTACTCTTGCGCGGGCTGCCGCTCAGGCGCTGGGTAACAGGTGGACGGGTGGGCGTCTCCTGACGGGATTGGGGCGGTCGCTGGAAATTAGGCGGTAAGTTGAGGTTGAAGGGTTTCTGCCCTGACGTCGTGCCGGGACTGGCTTGGCTAGCTGCAGGAGGGGCAGGGGCAATCGCAACAGGAGTGTTTGCGGCCTGGGAGGCGACAGACGTCTCCCGGTTGGCAGCTGCTTGGAGGGCGGCGAGCTGCGCTGCTTGCAGAGCAGGATCCACAGACGCGCGCTGAACCTGGGCCTGAGCAGGCACAGCGGGCTTCTCCTCCTGAGCCTGCTCGTTCGCGGCCTGCGCCGCCTGGGTCTGGGCCAACAGCTGTTGTTGCTGGTGCAGCGTCCTCCCCCCGACCCCGGCCTGCGCAGCGTGCATCTTTATCTGCTGGGCTTTGACCGCGTTTTCCAACGGGAGGAGCAGGTGGGTATGCCAGTACTTGAGCACCTGGGATGAGGGCTGCATCGTTGTTCCCTGATCAGTGCGCATCGGTACCTGAGCAGGAAGGTGGAAGGCCTCGTTAGCGAATCGCTGCCAAAAGTCTTCTTTCTGCTATGTGGGAGTTAGCGGCTGTATAGAAGGAGGGATTTGGAGGGAACGTACAGCCGGTGCGGTTTGAGCCATTCGCGTCAACCAGAAATACATCTTCCAAGCCTCGACCTCCACTCCTCCTAGCAGTAGCACCCCCGGCCGGTTGCCAATGTCCATATGCCGCCAGCGGCTTGTAGCAGGATCGTACAGCACCGGCTGGTCAGACTGCCCCTGCGCCTGAGCCTGAGCAGCCGCGGCCTGAGCGGCGGACTGTGCTTGCTGAGGCGAGAGACCAACGAAGGCGGGAGGAAGAGGCTGTTTCAGGTGCTGGTGCACACTTGCGAGTTGGCGGAAGAAGGCTTGTTGTTGTTGTGCGTGTTGGGCAGCTTGTTGCGCTGTTACAGGGAGGGGACGGGCGCTGGCGCCGCCACTTGCGGGGAAAGGCTGGCCACTGGGAGGAGTGGGTTGGATGCCCTGAGGAGGTGCTTGTAGGCCCGGGGCGTGCGCTTGAGGGGTGGGCGTCGGTTGCTGACCAGATTGCACCGGCTGGGGTTGCGGTGGGAGTGGCTGTTGCTGAGGTTGGCCGAGCGGCTGACCTGCCTGCGGCTGACCTGCCTGCGGCTGTGGTTGTTGTTGAGCTTGGGGTTGTACTTGCTGGGCTTGGGTTTGGGGTGTAGGAGCATGCTGTCCCAGCTGGAGCGAATGCTGAGCTTGAGGTTGAGCGGCCTGGAGTGCCTGAGCCTGCTGAGTCTGAGGTTGTTGCTGCTGCTGGGGTTGCTGAGGTTGCTGCTGATGCTGGGCAAGGCCTTGCATCCCCGTCCCGCTCATAGGTCTCCCAAGCATGCCCTGCAACTGCTGGATATTCATACCCTGCATCCCCTGGCCCATGCCCTGCATGCCCACACTCATATTGTTCATGCCCATCCCCTGCAAACTCGGCACTCCGCCCATCGCCCCCATCCCCGGTATCCCACCCATTCCCCCCATCCCGCCAAATCCCATCCCTTGCATACTCTGGAGGTTCTGCATCCCCTGCATAGCTCCAGCCTGGAGTGCCTGCAAGTTGGGGTTCTGCATCCCACCTCCAGGCAGACCGTGCATCCCCTGCATCCCCATCCCTCCCATCCCTTGCATGCCTCCCATACCTCCCATGCCTCCCAGACCCTGCATCCCTCCCATAGGGTTCGCGCTCACGCCCATTCCCTGACCCATCGGTATCCCCATCCCCGGCTCTCTCTGCTGACGAGCAGCGCTCATAGCCTGCATCTGCCTGGACAACAACATTGGGTCGACCATCCCCTGCCCTTGTCCCTGTCCCATCGCTCCCATCCCTTGTCCCATCCCCATCCCCTGGCCCATCGCTCCCTGCATACCCTGGAGGCCAGCCAGCCCACCCTGGAGGTTCTGGAGCATCCCGTTCGCGCCAGTGCCAGCTGCGGGCGTGTGCGCGTGCGCGTGAGAGGGCGAGCCCTGGGTCCCAGGGGCAGGAGTAGCAGACGCCGAAGGGGCGAACACGTGCTGTTGCTGTTGTTGGGGGAAGGCGAACTGTGCTTGACCGCCCTGCTGCCCCTGCGCTCGCTGTTGCTGTTGTTGCTGTTGTTGATACAGCCGCATCATTTGGGACTGTAACATCGCTGGGTTGTGCCTCAGATATTCGCGGACTTCTGCTTCCCCCTGGCCTGTGCTGGCCATGAAGGACTGAATTACTTGGTTCTGGAGATGTTGAGGAAACGAGGGTTGGGACATGGTGGGCGTTGTTGAGCAGGAACGTAGGTCGAGGAGGCTGGCGACTAGTGCTTCCCGTTGTACTCCCCTTGTAGATAATCCGAATCAGCTCCGAGCTGTTCTACGGGCGCTTAATGCGTACCTTGAGCTGGTTAGGAATGGCCCTTGAGAGCTTAAGCCGACAAGGCCGCCGTTTGTGCTCTGTTCGGCAACAGATCTTGTGTCACTTTTTCACGCGATTTAGAGAGGAATATAGTTCGCTTCCACGGAGGCACTTATGATTCCGCAACTCTATTCATAACCAATGACTCTACTGCCAGTGTGACACCCCTCACATCCTTCTATTCATCTAATGAACAACCTCTGATGCAGGTAAGATCACCTTCCCTGGGTTCATGATCCCCTTCAGATCGAAAGCGTGCTTGATACTCCGCATGAGCTCAACTTCGAGCGGCGTCTTGCTGTACCCGATGTACTTTGCTTTCTGGACGCCGAGACCGTGCTCGGCGCTTATGGAGCCGTTTTTCGATGCTGGGACGAGTTAGCCGCGACCTCGAGAACGGCAATAGAATGTAGATAGTGGGAAGGCGGAACGAAAACTGAAGTGAGGAGTGAACGCACCAACTAGCTCGAACATAAACGGTTCCAACAACTGTTCCACCTCTTTCCCATACGCTCCACACACGACGTTAATATGCAAATTCCCATCCCCAATATGTCCAAACCCGACCACCCGCTCAATCCTCCCCCCGCTCTTCTTAGCCCTCGCACGCAGCGTGTCGAGCACGTTCTGCCATTCCTGGATCGGCACGCTCACGTCGTACTTGTACACTTTGCCTGCCTTGCCACACGCTTCGGCAATCCCTTCCCTCAGCTCCCACATCCTAGCCAGCTGGGTCTCGTCCTGTGCCAAACTGCCCGTGAGCACGTCTGGACCCTCGAGCAGCTCTTCGAGGAGAGAGGAAAGCTTCGCCTCGTCGTGCTCTGCCACGCTTCCCGAAGTCTCGATGAGCATGTTCACCCCCTTCGGCACATGCTCCGCGCCGAACACTTGACGCTCCACTTCCTCCCCTTGTGCCCCGTCACCCGAGACGACAGCCCAGGCCGTCTCGTCAAAGTACTCCACCGCGCTGAGGATCTCGCCCAGGCTGTGCTTGAGCTTCCCAAACACGCGCAGCACTGCAGCGTAGTCCGGCAAACGGAGGAGGGCGAGGTTAACACTGGGGGACAGGACGGGCGTGAGCAGGCTCACACCGGTCACCACCCCCAGTGTCCCCTCGGCGCCGACGAACAGGTGCTGCAGGTGATACCCGGTATTGTCCTTCCTCAGTCCTCGGAGCCCATTCAGCACCCTCCCATCAGGCATGACGACTTCGAGGCCGAGAACATTCGCGTGCAAGCTCCCGTATCGTACCATCCTCAGCCCACCAGCGTTGGTACTGATGTTACCCCCGATCTGGCAGGACCCCTTCGCCCCCAGGTCGAGAGGCATCGTATACCCCTCAGAGGCGAGGAAGGTAGCGAGGGACTGGAGGACGCACCCCGCGTCGGCGGTGAGCACGCCTGAGGAAGGGTTGAACGAGCGGATCCGGTTCATCTGAGAGAGGGAGATGACGACTTGATCTTCTCCTGTTGGGGTCCCTCCGCCTGCCCAAAATAAGTCCGGATCAGCGATTCCCAAGTAGAACTCTGGGTGGGAAAGCGTACCTACGAGCCCCGTATTCCCTCCCTGAGGGACAACCCCCAACCCACGCTCAAAACAGTACCCCATGGCCTTGCTCACCTCCTCCGTCGTCTTAGGGGTCAAGACACAGCGCGACCCGCCAATGTACTTGCCCATCCAATCGGTGTTGTACCCCTCCAGATCGGCTGGTGTGGAGGTCCCCGGGGCGAGGGAAGCGCGCACGGATGAAGGAGGAAGGAGAGTGAGGAAATGATCGATATCGGTTTGGGTGAGCTGGGCGAGGCCCCGGGTGAGTGGGGGCAGAGAACGGTGCAGTTGACGCCGGAGGGTCAGAGCGAACATCGTGGTTGGTCGTGAGCGTTGGAAGGAGAGTGTGGAGTATGTAGCCAATAGAGGTATATGTTGGTAACTAGCAAATTGTCCAGCAAACAGTCCCGGTCTGTTAAACCCCCGAGTAATCCAGCCAAATGATAATTAAGTGGAGGAGAAGGAACAGTGAACAGCAACCCTCGACAGTCGCTTCCCGGTACAAGTTACTTTGCTTCTTCAGGGTGCAAATCCGATCGCGCAGATTTGCGGCCGATGAGATTAATCTCCTATCACCGACACTGAATTATCGCCGATCTCATGCACCACGCACATACCTCACATGCTTAACAGCTCCCCCCCCTTGTCCGCACTTTTGCAGCCCTCCCATTGGGTCAAACGGAGAATTGACGGCTCCGGCCAACGCACAGCCACTGCACAGCCATATTACGCCGGCATCCTGAGATAATTCCTCCGATGACCCCTCGGGCGCAAATTCCCTAAATGACCCCAAATGCCGCCCCTAAGTAACCAAATAAGGAAAGCAGTGGCTGTGGCAATAAAAGCATGTGCCTCCGGTCAATCCAACAACGCGTTTTTGTGAATGTTTTGCTATCAGAACAGACCTTTTTTAAAAACAAGCTGGTTGGCATTGTGTATGGTATCTATTATTTTCAATAACTGCTGCAAAATTCATTGCCTTGCCGTAAAAGTGCGGTGTTTCCTCACCTATGTTTACGTTGGTGAAAATCGGTGAATTCTTATTAGAGGCATCCATGCAGAATTAATTTATATACTGTAACATAACTAATCAAAAAAAAAACAAAGCTTGCGAATTAATTGTCAGAACATGCTTTATACACCGGCACGAAGAGACCGGACCCTAGCGCATCTTGAACTGCTACCACCACCTTCGTTAATTGGAAGGTCCGTGGTTGCTTAGGGCAGGCCTTGGGGTCATTTCAGGGATTTGCACCGAGAGGTCATGGTAGGCAAAATACGCCCGAAAGGGGTCATCGGAGGAATTACCTCCCGGCATCCTTAAAGCCAAAATAATCATAATTTTTTTCGCATTGTGATTTATTTCAAATATGCAAGTACTATATTGATGTCAGAGTAGATTTCATTCCCAATTTGTTCGAGGTGAAATGATTTCCAAATGATTATTATTTTCAATGTTAGGGTCCTCAAGTTCGACTTCGGCGTTTTCGCGAGCGGCGGTCCGAACAAGGGGGGAGAGGTGGGGCAGTTT